GACTCACAGCGCCCCTAGAGGACAGAGTGGAACTGCACCACAGGGTTTCCAAGGCTGTCAGTCTTCACAGAAGCAAAGCCCAAACCACACCCACTGCTGTGGAGTCGATTCTGACTCACCGCGCCCCTAGAGGACAGAGTGGAACTGCACCACAGGGTCTCCAAGGCTGTCATCTTTATGGGAAGGAGCTCTAGTGGTATAGTGCCTGAGGCATTTTACTGCTAATCAGAAAGTTGGAGGTTCAAACTCACTAGCCACTCCATGGAAGGAAGATGGGGTAGTCTACTTCTGTAAAGATTTTCCAACTCAGAAACCAAGTGGCGGGGGGGTCACTGTAAGTCGGAATTGACTCAGTGGCAGTGGATTTTTATTTTATTTTAAACCTTTACGGGAGCGGAATGCCAGGTCTCTCTCCACGGAGCCACAGGTGGGTTCAAACTGCTGACCTTCTGGGTAGCAGCCAAATGTCTTAACCACTGTACCGCCAGCATCCTTTACTTTCAGGGCATATAGGTTTGTGTTCCGGACGTCTCACCTAGTGGAACCGTACCCACGCAGCGCGCCGTGCCTGGCTTCTCTCACGCGGCAGCGGGTTGAGGTTCATCGTTTGGGAGCATGTGTCAGGGCTCCATTCCTGTTTGTGGGGGAACGGTGCTCCGCTGTCTGGACGTCACCTCCCCTTGTTTCCTCTCTGTGCTGAATGGACGTGTAGGTCTTTGCGGCAGCAGCGTGCCGGCCTCTGCTGCTGCCGTGTCCTCTGCGTGTATACTTCCGTGGTGCTGATTATGTTCAAGTCATACAGCCTCCCTCAGCCTCCTTTTCGGAGTTTTTCTTCCCTCGTTGACATAACCTCACTGCTCCTGAGATTTTCTCTCTAATCTTTGAAGTCGCTGTTGTCAACTTGATCCCATTTAGATAGATCTTTAAAACAACACAATATGCAAGGAGGGTAGTCGTCACTAATCAAGCTAAACTATGGTTTGTTTTTAAGAGGACATCAGGGGATATTTTTGGCTTAAGGTATAAGATTTCAAGATTATCTCAGGGCAGTAGTTTTGGGGGTTCATCCAGCCTCCATGGCTCCGGAAAGTCCAAACTTCATGAGAATTTAAATTTCTGTTCTTCGTTTTCCCCCCCTTTTGATCAGAATTTTTCTATGAAATCTTAGCTTGAAATATTCTGTAATGTGCAAGTGTGATTTTAAAGCAGTCACAGACCCAGTCTGGGTCCAAGGAGTAGGAAAATTAGTGTTTGGATGGGGTGTGGCAAAGACTGGCCACCGTTTTTAATCAGCTATGCCAAGACTGGGCTAGGCAGTGAGGTTATGGCATTGAACTAACTAGAAAAGCAGTTTAGGCCTTCACAGTGCAGTGGGGCATGGAACTCTATATATTGTGACTTAACTATAAAGTATATCAGAAAAGAATGGGAAACTATGGGGACTGATGCCTGGCCTGTTCTCGGGGTGGTCAGTAAACACTTCTCTGAGGCAGGGATGCCTGCGTTGAGAGCTCAAGCAAGAATAAGAGTTTTCTAGAACATTCCTTTGGTGCACCAGCCAGAAAGGGAGGAGCAAGAGGATTAGGGAGAACTGAAGGAAGGCCATCATGGCTGAGTAGGGAATGCCGGGGGAGAGGGGGATGAGGCGACATGGACGATGTTGGCCTCGTGTAGAGATGTCGTCCCAGGGAAGGTTTCAGCATGTGCAAAGGCCCTGAGACAGATGG